GTCCTAATTATGTACAATCATATAAAAAATGATTTATCATGTTTTATTAGTTAAATAAGATCTATAACACTATATATTATGTTAAACTGCAGGCATGTAACAAAAGTCATCATATACATAAATAATAAAATTTAAAACCCCCCCCCCCCCCCCCCCCCTCCTGGTTGTATCAGGAGCACCGGGTTATCATCATAAAGGGTTTCAGGAAACACGTAGCAAAACATGTATGTGTCCATACAACTAAGACAGGTAAAAAAATTATGTCTTCTGTTGTAAAATAGAAACAATTATTTTTTTTCTGGGTAATATACCTGCACAATTGGTAGGCAGGCCAAATAATTTCTTGAGGCCTCACAGATGAGGTTTTACAGAAGAATGCTTAAAATACCTTAGACAGATAAAAAAGAGCAACCAAGAGGTTTTGAAAGATAACATATCACAGACATCAGAAGGAGACAGTCATCATTTTTCAGCTATGTTATGAGAGGGGGGAAAATGGAACATGTGACCATGGCAAAGGAAGACAACAAGAGAAGATTCTTGACAGTCTTGTTGCATGGCAGGGAGGTGTTTCAACACACGACCTGAAATATGTTGCAGGAGATTGCGGATTGTGGAGAGGCATGAGTGCCCACGCCAGTCGGTAAGGCACCTGATGATGATGATTGTAAAATAGTAAGACCATTGAAAACATTAAAAAAATTACCTCCCTAAATTATCCCCCCCCCCCCCCCCCCCCCCAAAAAAAAAACATTACTATTAAAAGAAAAATTGAATAAAATTTGGAGAAAAAGTGAGCAAATAACACTGTTACTTTAGCAAAAAATATACAATAATAATACATGGAAATTGGGCTCAGAGGTGCTGAGCCACACAAGTGAGGGGCACTAAGACCAAGGCTCATCCTGGCCAAGATCCATCTCCTAGGAACAAGTTCCCAAGTGGGACCTGGCCACCGTAGATGGGTAGACATGATAAATGTTTCCTTTAAAGTTGGAGGCAAGGAACCAACACTCTGCACACAAATAACCCAGATCTGTAAAACAGATGTTCACACAAGATTAAAGTCCTAGATTCAAAAAAAAAAAGTTTGTCGCGTGTATTTTACAGGTCTTTGCAGAACCAATCCCATAATTCTGTTGGCTGTTTGTGTTTTTACTAGGCAATTATTATGTTCAGTAGTTTGCCACTGTTTCTTGAACACTGTTAAAGCTAACACAATAGAATTTGTGCACTGCGCTGAGATTCTTCAGACTCGGGCTTGAGTTAGAAGTAGAATGGAGCACTGATGGGTTACACCCGCGTGCCATGATGTTGATCCGTCAAATAAACGTAAAGCTAACGTAGGGCAATCTGCTACCAAATAGCCTACAGCAGTGATCGAACCCAGCACCATGGAATTACAAAGAGCATCCGCAACACTTAAGCTACAGACAGCAACTAAAGTCATAGAAACAAGAACAAAACCCCAAACTGAATGAATAACCAAGACTTTCTGCTGGAGTTAACAGCCGGTGAATGTGAAGATTAATACATGTGGAAATTCTGGTATGATGTGGCTCCACCTGGATGTGTACAGGGGTTGCATATTTACAGGGGCTTGCATCTTTAAATAACTTTAGAAGCTTTGATGACAGAAGATTAGCTACTGGTGGTGTCTCCAATGTCAAGAAACATAAACCTACAGCCTTGGGGCTGGGCTGATAAAGTCAATGGCTTGGGAAAGTAAGCCGCAAAATATACTGTACGTTTCTGTGTATATATAAGACAATATGTTTTCCAGTGTTTTAAGTTTAAAAATCGGGGGTAGTCTTAAATATTGAATTTGGCTTCTTCATTTTCTTCTTGGTCGTCCCCTACTTCTTGGTCGTCCCCTACTTCTTGGTGGTCCCCTACTTCTTGGTGGTCCCCTACTTCTTGGTGGTCCCCTACTTCTTGGTGATCCCCTACTTCTTGGTGATCCCCTACTTCTTGGTGGTCCCCTACTTCTTGGTGGTCCCCTACTTCTTGGTCATCCCCTACTTCTTGGTCGTCCCCTACTTCTTGGTGGTCCCCTACTTCTTGGTGGTCCCCTACTTCTTGGTCGTCCCCTACTTCTTGGTGGTCCCCTACTTCTTGGTCGTCCCCTACTTCTTGGTGGTCCCCTACTTCTTGGTGGTCCCCTACTTCTTGGTGGTCCCCTACTTCTTGGTGGTCCCCTACTTCTTGGTGGTCCCCTACTTCTTGGCGGTCCCCTACTTCTTGGCCGTCCCCTACTTCTTGGTCGTCCCCTACTTCTTGGTCGTCCCCTACTTCTTGGTCGTCCCCTACTTCTTGGTCGTCCCCTACTTCTTGGTGGTCCCCTACTTCTTGGTGGTCCCCTACTTCTTGGTGGTCCCCTACTTCTTGGTGGTCCCCTACTTCTTGGTGGTCCCCTACTTCTTGGTGGTCCCCTACTTCTTGGTGGTCCCCTACTTCTTGGTGGTCCCCTACTTCTTGGTGGTCCCCTACTTCTTGGTGGTCCCCTACTTCCGTCCCCTACTTCTTGGTGGTCCCCTACTTCTTGGTGGTCCCCTACTTCTTGGTGGTCCCCTACTTCTTGGTGGTCCCCTACTTCTTGGTGGTCCCCTACTTCTTGGTGGTCCCCTACTTCTTGGTGGTCCCCTACTTCTTGGTGGTCCCCTACTTCTTGGTGGTCCCCTACTTCTGGTGGTCTCCTACTTCTTGGTGGTCCCCTACTTCTTGGTGGTCCCCTACTTCTTGGTCGTCCCCTACTTCTTGGTGGTCCCCTACTTCTTGGTGGTCCCCTACTTCTTGGTGGTCCCCTACTTCTTGGTGGTCCTCTACTTTTTGGTGGTCCCCTACTTCTTGGTCGTCCCCTACTTCTTGGTCGTCCCCTACTTCTTGGTGGTCCCCTACTTCTTGGTGGTCCCTTACTTGGTTCTTGGTGTGGGTCCCCTACTTCTTGGTGGTCCCTTACTTCTTGGTGGTCCCCTACTTCTTGGTGGTCCCCTACTTCTTGGTGGTCCCCTACTTCTTGGTGGTCCCCTACTTCTTGGTGCTTCTAATTTCATGCTGTAAACTCTCACTGCTGACATCATTGGATTTATTCTCATTAAATGGTCAAACCATTTCAGTCTTTGTTTCTGAATGAATTTAATTATAGGTGTTGTTCAAGTAGTTTTTGTAATTTATTCATTTTTCACATGATCTTTTCTAGTTTTGTTCACGGCCTTTCTTGGACACCTCATTTCGCAGGTTGAAAGTAACAAATTTATTGATAATATTAATTAGGCCTGGAGAAGATTTGGCAAACATCACCCTTCCAACTTTTTTACTGGCTGAGTTGCTGTTGCTAGTATGTTTTGTGTGCATAATTCCACATACATCTATTTACTTTTTGTCTTCCATTTGTTTCTTTTGATATTTCCCCACGTAAGGTGGGTTTCTCTGTTTCAATCATTCTGAGGAAATATCTCAGACATGTTATTTGTCTGTTGCTAAATGGTTTTGACAAGTGATCTTGTGGCACCAGTAGCTGTCAACATCTGGGTGTTTGTTTATTCTCTGTTTCCTACTCCAGAATTTTCAGCATTTCCTTTTTGATTGTCCAACATTTACACCCAATCAGAAAAATTGACTATATAGAAGCTTTAAGCAAGTGAATTATTCTGCTATTTGTGTTATTTCTATTTTTCATGAAAATCTTCTTTTGAATTTTTCTATCCATCATTTCCTAAAGAAAAACAGGCCCTCAACCAACTTACTCCAAGCCTTTCTAGGCTTCTTCATTGCTGGTCAGCCCAGTTTCATGACTGTATTATTCTTCTTCTCTTCCACCTTGTACCTCATCAAAGTGTTGGGAGGAGATGAAACAATTGTTGATGAGCTCTGTCAAGAGCACTATTAAGACTGATGTTCATTTCTGTAAGGCTGTTCTTAATGCCATCACTACATCTTTTCCAAAGGTCTTCCGCTCACTCTAAACTCGTTGTAATGATTCAGTGTGGCTCGCTGTGGCAGATAGTACCAGGGCATTCTTGTTAGGTGTCCAAACTACTTTTGTTGTTGTTCTTTGATGACCTGTAAGAATGGCTTTATTCCTAGCATTTATCTGATTTCGACTGTATTTCATGAATGTTTTTCATTTCAGTCATATGACTGTTTTTATTTATAATATAAAAGTGATTACAGCCATTCTCTCCTGTATGTCAGTGACATTGTATAGCCCAGATATTTAACAATGGTGCAGTGACACATTTATTGTGATGCCTGCTAGTGGCTTGAGTAGACAAGGTTCATTTAATTGTCTGGACTGTCTGAAGTTTTATTTTTTTTTTTTAACAATAAGAAAAAGATTATATGCTTCACTCTTCTTCTTCTTCTTCGCGTTCACCAGCTGTAAACTCTGGCGGAAAGTTCTGGTTGTTCGTCCACTTCTGGACTGCAGTCCTGTTCCAGAACCTGAGTATTGCGTATACTTCACTCTAATCCTCAAACGAGACAGAAAAGGTTTTATGACCCATGTGCACATTCAAAAAGACACTAAAAAGTCCCCTACAGCTGGCCAACAGAAAAGAACATGCCAGTAGATCCCTGCCCAAGCATTTCAAAATTAAAACCATGCCATTATTCTTTTAATTAGTTGTTTTTCCTGGCAATTGTGACATTTAATATGGCCAATTATATTTATATATAAATATATATGTATGTGCACGTGCATGCATGCGTGTGTATGTGTGTGTCTGTATGTGTGTATAAGGACAACAAATGTATTAAAATATAATTAGGTAAAATAATAATGATACAATTATAACATTTGAGTCTTACTCCAAAAATGAGAGAATGAATGTCCTTATGGATTAAAAAGCAATTAGCCAAATAAAAAAAATAAAAACGATATTCTTATTTCAATAAATGTTATTTGTATGGTAAAAATTATGGATTGTAAAACCTTAAAATAATATAAACAGCTGTGGAAAACATATTAGTAAATCTGTGTTTAGCAGTATGAAAATATATCAGTTTTGAGGATTGGTAATCTTAAACACCCAGAGCCAATCACAAGGGATTTTTTTGTAAGGAATTGCTGGAATATTAATGATCATCCCTCCTCCTGACCTCTGGCTGAACTTGAACTGACGTTTATAACCTAGAAGGGTTACCTGGGTAGTTGAACTTGGCACAGGTGAGCCGAGTACTAAGGTAACCGCAGGCCAGTCAAACACAAAAGCATAGACATTCTTGTTTGAAGTTGTTGTTTCATTTGTTCTTTGGGTATACCTAGGGAGAAAGGAAGTGAGATTTTAGACAAATATGTTGTAGTGAATCACATATTCTCAAAGTCCATGAAATTTGATGGTTATGTTTGTCTTAAGCCTTACGTTATGTGTTCTGCCAATCCTTTTTGATCCAGAAGTCCCTCCAAGCTATGATGTCTAACTGTCATCATCTTTTTTGGCTTCCTCCGCTGTTTTCACCCCCTTCATAATATATATCTCATAACATGTGCAAATAAACACGTCTGCTACTGACGGAGAGTTAAGAACCAACATTGCAGAACTTAGGACATTCCCAAAAGCACGCCACATCTTTCCCAGCCAGCTCCCATGACACATTAAGAAAACTTAACAAGAATGTTCTTGTATTAAATCCTGGAGGGCTAAAGGAATAAAGGTAAACCCAAAATCATACGGAGAGGAGAATTAAAGAATGGGGTAAAAAGAATAGAGAACAAATATGGCGCAATGATCAGCGAACGTTGGATAATTTGGTGTGAGCTAGTCGAGAACCTATGCTCCATTCAGGGATAAAAAAAGCAGAAGAAAAAAAAAATTTTTCATACCCCAAATTGTTAATTTTTTAAAACTTTGTTAACTCCTAGTGGATTTTTTTCTTCTTAGGTCCTGTTTTGCCCTTCATTGCCAGTAGGCACTAGTTGTCAGACTTGGTATATGCTACACAGATGCTGATATTTACAGCCTCTGATATTCCATCTATCCGTAACTTGCATGGTCAACCTCTAGCTCTGCTAATGATAGAGTAATCAGAAATATTTGTTGCCAGGTACTAAATGAGTTAAAAAAAGAACTTACCAGACACCCGGTGTTACAGTGTCATTCTGAAACGTCCATGGTCTGGACTTGTACACAGCCTCACCGTTGACCTGCAACCATGACCCCATCTGCCTCAGTCTCTCCTCAAATATTGGAGCAATTGTTCCATCTTTTGTTGGTCCAACATTGATCAGTATATTACCATTACAACTGTGAATGACAGTTTACATAAATGTCAGCTGTCATAAAGTATTTGTGAATATAACGAAAAGTAAAAGTGTGCAGACTCAGGGCAAGTGGGTCAAATGTTTCAGTTTAAGCATTAGATTCACTGTGTGGGTTCTGGGGTCCCACTGGGGGGGGGGGAGCAGACCCACTGCCTCCTAACAAGCATGTCGTAAGAGTCGACTAATTATGGATGTATGGCAAGGAACCAACAGTCTGCATATGAATAAAAGAGATGTGTAAAATGGATGTGCACGCAAAACTCTGGTTCTGGAAGATGACTAAAGTCCAGAAGTGGATGAACAATCAGAACAGAGTTTACAGTTGATGAACATTCAGAACAAGAAGAAGAAGAAACATTAGATGAGAGCTGGGTAAGTACAGTTGCTAGACATTTGCTTCTTGACCTGGAGATGTTGGATTCAAATCTGTACCAGGTGGATGGTTCAAAACAAAAATGACTGGCTCCCAGGTTGTCCTAGCTAAAGAGAACCTGCAAATGTCTTTAGAAGTAAAGCCACTGCCACAATGTGGACCACATCGCCCCCTAAGTGGTGACTGGTCCATACAAATGTTATAGCATCATACGATCAATGTACCCATTTTAGGCTGGGTCAACCTGGAAGTCAATGTCTTCTTTTTCTGTGTTCCCCCTTCTATGTTGCAGTTTACTGCTAGAATGCAAAATCTGCACTATTTGGGTCCAAGCATCTGATTCCTCTTCTTAGCATTCGGGTCACTGTAAACCCCTGCAGAAAGTTCTAATTGTTCCTCTACTTCTGGACTTTGTTCAAGAACTTGAGTTTTGTGCACAAATCCATTTGATAAATCTGGCTTTTTTTTAAAATGCAGACTATTAGTTCCTTGTGTCTCAGGCATTGGCACCCTGACTTTAAAGGAATTAGACACCACGTATGACTTGTTTGTTAGGGAGGTTGTGGGTCTTTTTTGTGTGTCCCCCATAATGGAGCCCTGGAACCCATACAGGGAAAGACAGACTCAACGAAGAATGTTTTAAAATATAGTTTGCAATGTGTATTTTGCAAAAATTATATCTGAACAATGAGATCTCTGGGGGGAAAAAAACTATGCAGGTGCCCGAAAGTAGTACTCTATTTTAACTTATCTGGTGTAGGAATTCACATGTGCACCGTTGGCATATTGTAAAGGGACAAATAATAGCACTGAAAATACACTTGAGGAAAAATTGCTAAAACTGCAGTTTGATGTAGTGCTAACAATATAACCTTTCAACCCTCACTTGATTACAGTAACAATAATCTCTCAGTTACCTGATTGTTGTGGCAATTTTTCTAAGAAGGTTTTGTATCGGAATCACATCTGACAGCTTCATGTCTCTACGATACCCCCAGGACGAGTAATCCAGTTTCATAGCATTCTCAAACTTACGTTTCTGTAATGTACCTAAAGTAGACATACAATATATATTATACAAGGTTAACGTAATGATTCAAAATTCAGAATCTTTTTAAATCACCACTGTTTACTGACATCATGAGAGCTAATAGACTTAAATGGTTGGAGCAAATTTAAAGAATATCAGATGACAGAGAAGTAAAAACTGTATACACAAGGGAGATGAATGGTCGTAGACCTCGAGGCAGACCAAGAAGATGGAGAGATAATATCCAGACAGAACTGCAAACACTTGGTGTCACCAACTGGAAAGAGAAGGTCAACCAGAGAGATGAATGGAGGCGGGTGATATCTGCAGCAATGAATCTCAAGGGCTCGGAATGCTGAAGAAGAATGTAATGATGAAATTACAGCCTAAAATATTTGAGCTAAATAGATCTGCATAATTTATGAGCCAGACTTTGTTATCTTTTCTGAAAGGAGCTTAGATTTGAGGTATGTAAAGAAAAAAGAAAAAAACAATCTTTTGTTTTGTCGTCTCACTGATACTAGGTTTTAGCCGAGTGTCATGGTTTTCTGTATTTGTCTTGCACTTCTCGGGTGGATTGAACGATGGAACGATGGATTTTGATGATAGATTAACATGGAGAAAACACATCAACAAGGCAGCAACCAAAGCCAGAAGGAGGGTAGCCATTCTGAGAAAACTAAGTGGAACCACATGGGGTGCTAGCGGGAAAATACTTAGAAAAGTTTACCAACAAAGTGTTCGACCACATCTTGAATACGGATCAACAGCATGGAGTTCGGCATCAAAAACCACATTGCAAGAATTAGACAAACTGCAAAATCAAGCACTCAGAGTTACCACAGGCAGTATGAAATCAACACCTATAGCTGTGATGGAGAAAATGGGGATGACCCAAGCACTAAGTGAACGCAGAGACACCAAGATGCTTTTACAAGCAGAAAAGTTTCTTAGTATGCCCGGTCACCCTATGAATGAAAGATTCAAAAATTTAGCTTTGGGACGACTAAAGAGAAGTAGTTTTATCCACCAGGCCAAACGGCTCGGCAGACAAACCACTGATTTACCTGCAACTGATAGATCCTTAAATGCTGTCCCAGAACGGACCCCCTGGAGAGAGGAGTATAAGTTTCCAATACACATCAAGACTGAAGTGAAAGGGGTATTTGACAAGGAAGAACAAAACAGTGTGCAGCGCAAAACAGCCACCCTCAGTTTACTTGATGATGAATACCCGCAGAACCTTTGGGTCCGTGTTTACACAGATGGGTCAGCAGAAAGCGCAGTCAGAAACGGAGGTGCGGGAGTGTACATTGAGTATCCTAATAATACCAGGGATACAGCCAAATTACCAACGGGAAAGCACTGTCACAACTATGATGCAGAAGTTCAAGCCATCAAGATAGCGGTAGAGAAACTACTAAATACAGGGTATTTTTCACAACCAGTGGTATTCCTGACAGATGCAAAAGCAGTACTTCAGTCACTCCAGTCTGGAAAATTACCAAGCATACGGACACTATTATCCGAACTAGGCAACCGCTGTAAATTAGTAATGCAGTGGATACCTTCCCATTGTGGAGTTCCCGGAAACGAAAAAGCTGATAAACTAGCTAAGGAAGGTGCAACTGAAGAACAACCTGACATACCAGTCTCTTATCAACAGAAGAAGAGAATGATCAAATCAATCAGAATGCCACCGAAACTGGCACAAGATGATTACCATATTATGGACAGACCAGAGCAAGTTATTATCCTTCGCCTTAGAACAGGGCACAATAGACTTCGCTCCCACATGTACAACAAATTTAAGATTGGCCAATCGGCCATGTGCACTTGTGGACTGGCACCTGAAACAACAGATCACATCCTTCAAGACTGTCCCATATTCAACGCTTTCAGACAAAACATTTGGCCAAAAGAGACACTTGTGGAAGTCAAACTTTACGGGCCGCTTAGTGAATTACAAAAGACAGTGAAATTCATACAAGAGACGGCTTTGCAGATATAGACAATTTATTTCATGCGAACGAAAGAAGAAGAAGAAGAACGATGGATTTGTTAATCTTTCTGTTGGTTTCAGCAACACCATATCCATCTCTTTCTTGGTTTTCCCCTTGCCTTCCTCACAGATCTTCTGCTGCAAAAAGTCTCAAATGTAGTTTATCCTGGCTGCTTTCTCACTAGATGGCGGCCATTTAATTTTTTGTCTGTCAATATAATAATTCAGACATGGTCTTTTTCCAACTTCTCTAGGAAAAAAACATTTTTAAATCTGATCTCAACGAAAAAACAATTTTTTTTTTCAAACATTCACCAGCTAGAAAACACTTGCCTGGATTGAACTGGTCAGTACAGGTTAAAAATCCCCCATGCTTGCAAACAACGTTACGACCCCATCTGTCGTTAGTGACGACAGTATCTTTCACAGGGCTGAAATAATTATTGAAAAATTAGAATTTAAATATGGCTGTATATAGGAAAATTCTACCTACTGGGTCATAGCAATGTCAATAAAGGTTCCAATTCTACAATTTCAGGAACAAAAATGAAAATAAAACCCTGTAAAAGTGAATAATACGTACACATTGTATTTCATTTTATAAAATGATCAATAGAAACTTCATTATAAGAATAGTGATGTAACCTTGGAAGGGGTAGCGGGGTAGGGTAAATGCCTCCTTTCCTTCGCTAGCCTGTGGGATACCTCATGGGCAGCGCTTAGCCCCCCCCCCCCCCACCCCCCGATTAGGATTACATGAAGTCATGGCAGGGAGGTGATGGATTAACGTGGTGAGCAGCTGAGAAGTTATCAGTACTGGTCATCACTTTAACTGTGCTAGGCAGAGGATGACTCTATAGGCACAATGACTAGGATAACCCGCCAAGCATTGGCACTGCTCTCACAGAAAGAAATTGCAACCTACTGCGAGTATTTTGCAAAGCAAAGTCCTGTCTGTACAACAATCAATAAACGTAAACGAAGTTAAAGGGAGTTCAAGAAGTGCCTCGTCTGGTAGGGGCCTGCATGTGCTACAGGTGCACCAAGACCATTACCCGGCTACTGTACGCAAACCAAAGAATTGGACACTCATTATTGGGAACATGGAATGTGAGAACAGTCATGCAAGTAGGTAAACTAGAAAACAAAGAGTGAAATGAAAAGAGTGCATGTAAACATCCTGGGACTGTGTGAAACGAGACATATCGGAGCAGGGGAAATGTATTCAGATGATAGCAGAATAATTTACTTAGGTGGACAAAAACATGAAGGGGGTGTCAGCAACATTTTGGACAAAGAAAGAGTAAAAACACAAAGGCAGAGATTTTAAGAAGAATTTATGTTACTCCTTTTCTCTCTCTCTCTTGTTGTACCACACCAGGACATCACACAAGCGATAAACACCCGGTGACACAAAATGCCATGCGGATGAGGATCACCCATGGAAAGGTCCCAGAAACCCCTTTCAGCCATTAGGCTATATTTATGGCCCGGCTATATTCAGGACCCCCAGCAAAAGCCTGGGTAGGGCTTCAATCTTCTCCTTCTGTGTCTCTGAGGTTTTTGTTTGTTGATACTTACGCATTTTTTGAAAGATTATGATGGATAAGATAAATTGACAGCTAAACGAGTGACAGATAATCAAAGTTTAACTTTACATCATGCTCTGGTACTGAACTTCCCCAAGGAATCATCACATCCCGCTCATGAGAGTTTAACCTCACTTCCATACATTGAGCCTCTGACTTATTATGGGCTGTGCCTTAGAAGCCAGCATGATACATTGAGACTCTGATTCACTATGGGCTGTGCCTTTAGAAGCCAGCATGATACATTGAGACTCTGATACACTATGGGCTGTGCCTTTAGAAGCCAGCATGATACATTGAGACTCTGATACACTATGGGCTGTGCCTTAGAAGCCAGCATGATACATTGAGACTCTGATACACTATGGGCTGTGCCTTAGAAGCCAGCATGATACATTGAGACTCTGATACACTATGGGCTGTGCCTTTAGAAGCCAGCATGATACATTGAGACTCTGATACACTATGGGCTGTGCCTTAAGAAGCCAGCATGATACATTGAGACTCTGATTCACTATAGGCTGTGCCTTTAGAAGCCAGCGTGAGGCAGCCTGCAGACCCTACCAAGGATTTAAATATGGGTCTCCTGAATGAGCCAGCCACTCCTAAGATATTTCATGTATAATGGGCATACAGTGACAGCTCTACACTGTTCAAGACCAGGTGGTAACTGACAGGGGATGCCTTTACTTAACAGGACATACTTCAGGTAACATTTTAAGCTTACTGGGTTATAATAAAATAAAAACAAAATACATTGCCGAAAATATGCAGTTATTTCATTTAAGTTTATTTTTTTAATGGGGCGGGGAGGAGAATGAGTCGAGTCTCATCCATATATGACTGAGCTACCATATAACAGCAGTCTGTAATGACTGTTCTCCCTTAAGGATGAATGTTGGGCAGCAAACACCAAATCTGACATTCCACATTATGCCAATGGCTTATCCACATGTTTTAAGTCTCCCACTACTTCTTCAGCTCTGTGAGTTCCACAGAAATAATTATCTGTCTAAACTATTCACAGCCACTACTTCTTCAGCTCTGTGAGTTCCATAAAATAATTATCTGTCTAAACTATTCACAGCCACCGCTTATTCAGCTCTGTGAGTTCCATAGAAATAATTATCTGTCTAAACTATTCACAGCCACTACTTCTTCAGCTCTGAGTTCCACATAAATAATTATCTGTCTAAACTATTCACAGCCACTACTTCTTCAGCTCTGTGAGTTCCATAGAAATAATTATCTGTCTAAACTATTCACAGCCACTACTTCTTCAGCTCTCTGAGTTCCACATAAATAATTATCTGTCTAAACTATTCACAGCCACTACTTCTTCAGCTCTGAGTTCCACATAAATAATTATCTGTCTAAACTATTCACAGCCACTACTTCTTCAGTGCGCAGCGCCCGTGGCTAAGGCATTGCAAGTCTGACTCATAATCTAACGTACAGCGATCGAAACCTGCATGGGCTGCGTGGATTTTTATCGTGGTATGGGACGTCGCAGGTTGACCCAGCCTCAAATGGGTACCAGGATGGGCTGTCCTGGAAAAGTAAAGACGGCTGGTGTAATGCTGACCACATTACCCACCAAGTGCCGTTCGGTCTGTAAAAATATGGGTGCTCTTTCCATATGCCCGCTGCACTTAAGGGCGTGTAAAGGGATCTTTACTTATACTTCTTCAGCTCTGTGAGTTCCACATAAATAATTATCTGTTTAAACTATTCACAGCCACTACTTCTTCAGCTCTGTGAGTTCCACAGAAATAATTATCAGTCTAAACTATTCACAGCCACTACTTCTTCAGCTCTGTGAGTTCCACAGAAATAATTATCAGTCTAAACTATTCACAGCCACTACTTCTTCAGCTCTGTGAGTTCCACATAAATAATTATCTGTTTAAACTATTCACAGCCACTACTTCTTCAGCTCTGTGAGTTCCACAGAAATAATTATCAGTCTAAACTATTCACAGCCACTACTTCTTCAGCTCTGTGAGTTCCACAGAAATAATTATCAGTCTAAACTATTCACAGCCACTACTTCTTCAGCTCTGTGAGTTCCACAGAAATAATTATCAGTCTAAACTATTCATAGGTTGTTTTTTTTTAGTATGTGTTTTATCCAGTGCCAGTATCTTTTCTGAACCTTTTGACTGGCTGGAATTTTAATTATGTCATAAACTCAGCAATGGTTATTTTATAACATGCAGGTCGTTTTTTCACTCACTGAACAGGCAACAATAAATAAGTGCTTGCAGTTTGAAACAAAAAAATATGCTTATAATGAAAGTAGATCTCTATATACAACAATAAGAAAGAGACAAACACTGTTCTTTGTCCACATAATGAGAAGAGAGACATTGGAAAGATCAGTGTAAAAAAAGGGGCAGAGGCAGACCAAGAGAAATGATGTTGGATGGGCTGAAACGATGGAATGGAGGGATATCATCAAGAGAGCTGTTCCAGGCAACCGGGGGTTATGATCTGTGGAGATGCAGAAGCGCCTATGCGAGGGAACATGATGATGATGATATGCTTATGTTTATTATGCACCAGTTGTTCATTCACTGTCTGGTTGTGCCATTACATGTCACTCAGGACTTGCAGTCTATTTCTCCATTCCATTATATCTTGTGCAATGAATTTAATATCATGGATCGAATCCAGTTCCAGCATCTTTAGCTCTTTCATCAAAGTAGCGCCTACTTTGGGAACAGCGGCTCTATAAGCATAATGGCTAGGACAACCTGCCCAGTATGGGCACTGCTCTCACAGAAAGAAGTTGCAACCCACTGTGAGTATTTTGCAAAACAAAGTCCTGTCTGTACAACAATCGATAAACGTAAATGACCTTGAGAGTTCAAGAAGTGCCTCGTCCAGTAGGGGCCTGCATGTTTTTCTTTTGGACATTCTCACTTCCTCACTCCCTTTATTTCCCATTTTGGTGACTGTTTTGATGATTTTCTGCCCGTTTCTTCTTAGGATGTCTCCAATATAGCGTCATCTTCTTTTTCTTATAACTTTTGTTATCAATGGTTGCCCAGACATTTCTCTTATTTCTTTAATCCACCTGAATTCATCACATTTTATATTCAACATTTTACATTCATCTGTTTTCAAATGTATTTAATTCTCGTTCCATGCCTGTAGTGGTTCTACAACTTTCACTGGCATATGTTAAAACTGAAATCACATTAGAATTTAAAACATGTCCACACAGCCATACTGATGTTAATATCCTAAGTTTGGTACTATATTTATGGTCTTTCGACGTTCAATAATGTCCAAGTACTATGAAAGTTTTTTTTTGTTTAAATTCTTATTTTGATATCTATGTCTATTCCATATGGTTGACTATATTGCTAAACAAACAGAAGTATGATTATAACCCTTGTGGTGAGATTTCACTAAGGGAGATCAGGGTAATATATGCTTGAATTTTTTTTTTTTGTTTTCCCTATATATTTTTAGACATATACTTAATTTTTTTTTTAGTCCTTTATCCATGAAAAGACTTTCAATTAACTCACATCAAGTCATATCACCCTCTGCCAATGCATACATCATGCTTATATGTATTTTGTTTCCTTTTAAAGGGTGGAAAAAAGGGGGGGGGAGCTGGTGATTTCAGGTAGGGAAGAGCCAACGGCAAGCGCTGTGAAATACATTATTGCTTGCCTAAGCACATTTGCGCTCTGAAGGTTGCGGATTCGTTTTATGGTGAGGCCATTCAGTTCATGCTTGCAACTTTTATGAAGACCCATGGGGGATCATTGTTAGAGCTACGGAGGTTGTGCTCTGTGGGATGCTCTCAGCAGGCAGCTAGCTGTTCTGTGGATAGAGATTGAGCCATATGGGATAAAACCAGTGCAATGAAGTAGATCGTCTCACCTTTACCCTTACTTTACGAAATCTAAGGTTTCTTTTTAACTGCAGGGTATCCTAGTATAACTGTGTTACATGGCTGAACAGCGTTCTTAGATCTGTACCTGTTTCTTTTTTTTTCTTTGTTCACCGGCTGTAAGCTCTATTTGTGTGCAGTTGGCTGTTCCTTGCCTTCCAACTTCGAAGAAAGCTCCCAATTAGTCAACTCCTATGACGTGCTTTTGCTGGGAGGCAGTAGGTCTATTCTTGTCTTTTCCTGGGAAACTGACATGGGGATGTACTTGTTTGAATCTCATCATGAGATGTTTATTCTACAGAATGCAATTCCTCAGTGATTTTTTTTTTTTTAACCCAAGCCTAAACCTACCCTTAGTTGACTTTTATGACATCCCTGGTAGGGTGGAGTGTTATTCTTGTCTTCCACTATGGGCTCTGATAATACACAAGCAAACCTTTGAGATGTACATTGTGATAAATAGCCTGCAACTGATGATCAACACTCCCAGGTCATCTGAAAGATTTCTCACCTTTCATTATAAAGCCAGGCCAGGAAATGGGTGCTATTCCAGTAAGTGTCCTTGCCAGGACAGCCATCAGACCAGATAACATCGGGTTTGTAAGTGTTCACCAGTTCGTACAGCTCAGGCAGAGACTTGTTCTAGAAGGATAGATGGGACACACTCACACACATAGGACACATTTTACTTAGGCTATCCTCCGACTAACAGTCGGTAAAGATGGCGACCGCAAAATATCCTTTTGAGCCATAGTCGCGTGTCAATTGCGCACTAGCAGTCACAAGCACACCGCGGCTGCTGCTCGTGGATCCTAGCCATCTAGTTTAGCCCAAATCCACGCTGCTCACGCGGCGTGGGGGTCACATAGTCGCCGGAAAACCGCCAGAGAACCGCAAATAAAGTCACATGACTGTGGCTCGAGAGGATAATTTGCGGCCGCCATCTTTATCGACCGTTAGTCAGAGGATAGCCTTTACTTATCTAAACTGGAGTCAGGTACCAGTCAGATATGACTGAGCTACAGTAGTTGGCACTTTGTTTAGGTTCAAGTTTTAAAAACGGATCAATATCATGACATAAGGGTAGTAACCCACAAGTGCTCCATAGTACTTCTAACTCAAGCCTGAGTCTGAAGTATATTAGCGCAGTACATGAACTCCGTAGCACTGACGAGGATCCTGAAATAGTTAAGGTAGATTTTTAACTCAAAATTTTTCCCTGGCAGCTCTGTTAGGCTACTCTTTTAGATTTCCATCTGCCAAACGATTATTTTTACATGCACAACAATATACATAGGCGTCCGATCTTACTACCCACAGACCAAAGGAAATTACTAGAAGTCCACGAAGGAAAAGTTCCCAGCCTTCACCGGGGCCTGAACTTGTGACCTCCAGCACTCGAGGTGGATGCCATGCCTTTAAATCACTCAGCCCCCTGTTGCTGGTACTATATTTGGCACTATGTGTTCTCTGTTAATTCAGAATATAGGGGAAGGAGGGAGGGGGGGTGGTGGGTTGACATAACCTGGCATCCCATACACTGCCAAAAGTTTAGGGCAGAGGAGTGCATTGGGAGGATACTAGCCTTATCCTAGGAAGAGGAAATCCAACCTGAAAATGTAATGTTATAGCAGGGCAGACCAGGCCCTAAGCCTTGGCTGACAGCTGAACTAGGAGAGAAGACAGGCTGACAGAGCACTGCTTTTCTGATATGGCAGCTTCTTCAGCCTACTTTGTTCCAAATATGTTGGTGTTACCTTTCCTTTGGAGTAAACAAGACAGGACAAGCAACAGATCGTGCTGCATTGGTAACAAATGGTCTCTACAGTATTGCCTAGTCTTTGAGCTATGGAGAGGTGGAATTTCATTACAACACCTCGACTGAACAGTATAATCTTTTGGAGCCAAAAAAGGTGCCAACAACAAACAGTTATCGCCAACTACTCCTCTTCTTCACATCCACCAGCTGTAAAATCTGGCAGAAAGTTCTAGCTGTTCGTCTACTTCTGGACTTTCCATTTGGTTTCAAAACTCGAGTTTTGCATGCACATCCATGTCATAGATCTGGCTAATTTGTATAATGACTGCTGGTTTTTACCTCTCAGGTACAGGCACTTCAAAGTGCCCTTCAAATTGCACTTGGTCCTTCAAAGAAAACACTAGTTGCCTTTTAGGACATGCTTGTTACAGAAGCAGAGAGTCTATTCTTATTCCCAAAAATGGACCCCAGAAATCCACACTGGGAAACTTTTTTCATGATCCAAGAAAAAGTAAACTTATTACAGAGATAAGACAAGTTAAAACAGATGTCTCCATGACAGATGATAGGCTGGGTAGCAAGGATTGGTATCTACAGGTCCCACATTAAAAATGCAACACAGCCTCTGCAAATCAAGCCAACTGTACCTACATATGGTGCTACCTGTTGTAACAGATATGGCTCTGGTGCATAGCGAGTCTCCATTGCTAAAATGGACCACCCCACCCCCCCCACCCCCAATTGCTTGAAGGGATAAAATACCAGGTTATGGCTGGAGAAAGCCAGACAGAAACTTTGGTGTAGTGTAAACCCCCACCCCCCTCCCTGCGACTGATGCTGGGCCAACTGGTGCGTGGACATGTCCTGATTCCCACAACAAAGTCACATCCAGAGAGTCCACCCTGGATAATAAAAAGCGGAGAAAGAAACTCTCACAACTTCTGATTTCTGGCAGGCAGTGTTGGGACAAACTAGGACACAAATAGGGAAACTCCATAACTTCTCCTACCAAAGACAGACATGTCGGACTGAATGGCGTGGAGAACCAGAAATGGAAATTTATATCGCCGCAATCTACGGTTAATGAGTATGCTTAGAAACCTACACCGTTATGGGGCTGCTCCTTGGACTATATTTGTTTGGACTGATTGTGATTTTTTATGTGAGTGTTGACTGATTATGAACAGTTGTAATGGTGTTGACTGATTGTGAACAACTCTATGACTGTTGAGTAATTGTGAACAGCTGAAAAATTTTTATTCCTCAGAAGTAAAGTAATTCCATATGGGAATTCTGAAACGGATGTAACATCAAGAATAAATGAGAAAATCAAGCCTTTGCCATGCCTTATATTACCTAGAAGTCAAAGAGACTAAGTAAAAAACTTAGTCTGAAGACAAAACTCAGATTATATAAAAGTAACATTTTAAGAAACTATTATTGAATAGTGAGTGTTGGAAAATTGCAGCAAGATTTCTATATAAACTAAAGACTTTTAAAAATAAATATCTAAGATGAATCCTCATATATTCTGGCCAAATAAGGTCACAAATGAAGAACTGAGGAGGTAAACAAATGGTTCATCCCTGGCAAACTTTATCAAAGGAAGAAGATGGAGATGGCTTAGTCATGTTTGTAGAATGCTTTGTGACACTGACAAGGAAAGCTCTTCGATGGAAGAAGGAAAAAGGCAATGCGGATGACCTCAGAAAACCTTGGGGAAAAGGTAGACAAGGAAAATGAAGGAATGTAAACTGACACGGAATACCACTGGCAGAAAAGAAAAAGCAGTAGACAGACAGCAATGTAGATCACTGGTGGATGCTCCAAGTGTCAACAGCAACATAAACAGGATACTGATTTTCATTAAAACAAAAGAAGATCTTCCTAATCAATCAATCATCATCCTTTTGTGTCATGCATAAAAAAATCATGGGACTCAGTCAAAACCTCCATTCCTTGCTATCTCATGCAATCTTCTTTTTTTTTTTATTTTATATCATGTACGGAATCTACTCCGGCATCCCCAACCTCTCTCATCAATGCTCATCAAATGGATTCACTGCAACGTCCTCACTATCTCAGTCCATCTGTATCCCATTTGAATATGTAAGATGATTCTCAGTGCAATAGGCTTCAAAATATGACCAATATATCAGGATTTTCTTTGCAAATGTAGATATGAGCTGCTATATAACACTTCTTTGGTTTTTTTAATTTTTAAATTGAATTCATCCTATTTATTTTTCTCCAATTTCATTAAACTTTTCAAAACAGCTATATTTGTTTCACTGTGATTTAATAATGGAGCACTGTGCTTTAATAGGAAACTAATATACTTACGAAAACAAAATTCTGAGTTTTATACTTGTTTTTCTTATCCTCCAGATAAACTGGGTTGAACCACTCAAACAAGGAATGGTAGATACCATATCTCAGATTTGGATATCTACGGACAGCAACTGCCAGGTCACCTTTGTTTAAAAAATCAGAAAAAGAACAGAAAAAGCTCTACACTGTACTTCTCTCTCGCTCTCTCTCTCTCTCTCTCTCTGTATGTGTGTGTGTGTGTGTGTGTCTGTGTGCGTGTGTGTGTTTGTTTGTCTCTGTGTGTCTGTGTGTGTGTGTTTGTCAGTTTGTGTGTTGTGTGTATGCGTGTGTGTATTTGTCTATGTGTATTTGTCTGTGTGTGTGTGTGTGTCAGTGTGTGTTTGTGTGTGTGTGTGTCTGTGTGTGTGTGCGCGCGTGCACCCGTGCGTGTGTGTGAACGGGTTGTAATTTTCAAACCACCGCTGAGAATGGGTTAGACTTTTTAAAAGGTAACCAGCTGTGAATGGGTTAAATGTTAAACAAGGTAAATAAACAGAACAAACTAAAGCAATAAACAGGCTAATAATGACACATATGAAAGCAATGTACAGATTATACAACCATGCAAGCAGTGAATGTATAGATTATACAACCATGCAAGCAGTGAATGTATAGATTATTCAAATATGCAAGCAGTGAATGTATAGATTATGCAAACATGCAAGCAGTGAATGTATAGATTATACAAATATGCAAGCAGTGAATGTATAGATTATACAACCATGCAAGCAATGAATGTATAGATTATACAACCATGCAAGCAATGAATGTATAGATTATACAACCATGCAAGCACTGAATGTAAAGATTATACAAATATGCAAGCAGTGAATGTATAGATTATACAACCATGCGAGCAGTGAATGTATAGATTATACAACCATGCAAGCAATAAATGTATAGATTATACAACCATGCAAGCAGTGAATGTATAGATTATACAACCATGCAAGCAATGAATGTATAGATTATACAACCATGCAATCACTGAATGTAAAGATTATACAAATATGCAAGCAGTGAATGTATAGATTATACAACCATGCAAGCAGTGAATGTATAGATTATACAAATATGCAAGCAATGAATGTATAGATTATACAACCATGCAAGCAGTGAATGTATAGATTATACAAATATGCAATCAGTGAATGTGTAAATTATACAAATATGCAAGCAGTGAATGTGTAAATTATACAAATATGCAATCAGTGAATGTGTAAATTATACAAATATGCAAGCAGTGAATGTATAGATTATACAACTATGCAAGCAGTGAATGTATAGATTATACAAATATGCAAACAGTGAATGTATAGATTATGCAAACATGCAAGCAGTGAATGTATAGATTATACAAATATGCAAGCAGTGAATGTATAGATTATACAACCATGCAAGCAATGAATGTATAGATTATACAACCATGCAAGCAATGAATGTATAGATTATACAACCATGCAAGCACTGAATGTAAAGATTATACAAATATGCAAGCAGTGAATGTATAGATTATTCAACCATGCGAGCAGTGAATGTATAGATTATACAACCATGCAAGCAATAAATGTATAGATTATACAACCATGCAAGCAGTGAATGTATAGATTATACAACCATGCAAGCAATGAATGTATAGATTATACACCATGCAATCACTGAATGTAAAGATTATACAAATATGCAAGCAGTGAAATGTATAGATTATACAACCATGCAAGCAGTGAATGTATAGATTATACAAATATGCAAGCAATGAATGTATAGATTATACAACCATGCAAGCAGTGAATGTATAGATTATACAAATATGCAATCAGTGAATGTGTAAATTATACAAATATGCAAGCAGTGAATGTGTAAATTATACAAATATGCAATCAGTGAATGTGTAAATTATACAAATATGCAAGCAGTGAATGTATAGATTATACAACCATGCAAGCAGTGAATGTGTAAACTATACAAATATGCAAGCCGTAATTGTGTAGATTAGAAAATGGTGTTATAATGGACACATTCTGAAAAAAGATGAAAGGGGAATCACCAAATAGGCTGAAATGCCAAGAGAAACTCTTAAGCTGAAGGTTGATGAGACAAACCAAAGGTGCTGGACCGGATTTGATTCAAGATATCAAAGTGACTGCTGAAGATAGAATAGAGCGGGAAAAACAGACAGTGAGCCCTATATGACATGACTGGCACCTTTTTGTCTTTCCAGACTATAGTGTTATATTGCGCTAGAAGAAGGCACAGGACTCACAGCCTGTGTCAAGAAAAGTCTTCCACGCTGAGAGTATGGGATTTCAGGACCATTGTTGTTAACATCTGTGTTTAATCCGTTTATTCTCAGACACTCAGCTCTGATCTTTTCTGCAGTCATTTTCTTCCTTCACTCTCATTCCCTTCCTGATGTGCCCTCTCCTTACAACACAGTCCATGGCATTCGGTTTCCATGAGTCCACCTCAATACCAGTATCATTCATGTCCCGCTTGCACACATCTTTATACCGTAGTAGAGGTCGACCATAATATCTTCTACTCATCTTTAATTCACCATAAAGGATGTCCAAAGGGACTCTGCCATCCTCCATTCTCCAGGTGTGACCCAGCCATGAACCTTCGTAGACTGAACATTGAGAAGACTGTTGTAGTACCGGCTCTTTCCAGTTCCTCAGTGTTTGTCATTTTGTCCTGCCACTTAATGCCAAGTATTCTTCTTAGGCATCGCATGTGAAAGCTATGACATATAATGGCATAACAATTCAATGAATAAAGAATGAATGAATGTATAGATTAACTTTTATCTCAGTACCCACCTACAAGATCTCGATGTGGACCCACATCTTGGGCATTCCAGTTAAATGAGTAATTGGACGGCCAACTTGTGAACCCTTCATGGTGTTTTGTCACCTGGACTACATACCTGAAAATGTTAGTAAACTTCATAAATGCAGGTTTTTTGCTATTAGGGAAAACTGTTTTTTACAGTGTGTATGTGTATCAGGGCATGTACAATGTTATGCATCTATACATCTATTAATCTGATGAAGTTAGTTAGTCCACAGATCATCCTCATTGCACATCAAACCATTCCGTCTATATGTTCTCTGATTCCCTCCTCAGTAGATCCCACAGCGTGTAGCGACTGACCATACCAGTTCTGCATTGGTTTTTATTATTCTTCTTCAGCTTCCTGCATAGTGCTCTTGTCTGGCCACACAATATTTAACATGCAGTTCTTGCAGTCTGCTTTTGGTTGTAGATTCACAGTTATCATTGGGTTCTAGCAAACGTCTTACTTCTCGTAGAGCATACAGTATATCAGCCTGGTCCATGGCTCGTCCGCCCTCCATAATAGCAACATCTGCAAGCCTGTCTGCTTGCTCATTTTTATGTGCACCTGCATACTGTAGGTTTTATGCTGACGTGGAGTAGCTCTGAAGTCACATCATCTGCCTCTGGCTTGAACAGACCTCATCCATTTCACAGCATACAGTGATTATTTTTTTTAATGATAATATACTTCCCCAGATATCTTGTTAGGAAATGGTGAAAACTGAGGCATCCCCCCAATACCCTCTATCTTGGAATGGAATACCGACCCTCAACCAACTCAAGCCAAGTCAACTTATCCTTTGCACAGAATAAAATAATTAAATGGTACAACAGAATCACGAATGTACAGCTTTAGGAGAGAACTAAATTCCAGTGAGACAAAAGATGAAAAAAAGACGCTCGCTTTGGACAGGACAACTGAGAAAATCTGATAACAATATAAATAGATGCCCTTGCACTGAAACTTATTAGATCTAAGGAATGATCAGTCAATCAGTTAGGTTGTCCTTTACAGAACGCTGCTCTCTTCATGGCACACGTGTTAGCCTCTCTTTCTGTAGCCAATTCTCCAGTCTTGTGTGCTTTCATAAATAGCTCATACATCTTCAGTGTCCTGTATCCACCTTCATAGAGGTCGACCTTTGCCTTATTTGCAGAAACTGTATCCTCCATCAGACCACCATGGCACAAAGAAATAAATGGCAGCCAACAGAAATGAGGCCACCACACATGTCTACGTAGAATTACCAAAATACAATCTCAAACACTAAACTACTTCTAGTCACAAACCAAGAAACTTTAGACAGTATGATTACCAAGAGAAGATGGAAATGGCTTGGCCACGTTATGATAATGAATCCTGATATACCCGCCAAAACAGCTCTCACGTGGACACCAGAGGGAAAGAGAAAACAGGGGAGCCCGAAAACAACATGGAGACGAATGATGGAAAGTGACCTGAGTGCGGCATCTCTGACATGGAAAACTGCACTGAAGATTATACAGGACAGGAAAGCACGGAAAGACCTCTCTGATGCCTCATGTGTCACTAGGCATAATGAGAACTGAAAGAAATTAGAGAGAGAAGTCAGAAAGATAAGAAGGACATGTAACAGAAAAGGGTAGGAAGACTTTACATGAGGTTGCTGAGTGAATATGCTTCACTGGGAGGTAAAATAAGGAAGAAGCAGAAAATGAAAAAAGAAACAATGTTTAGTTTTATCATTCCTATTTCCTTTTTTTAAAACACTGCCCTTACCTGGCTCCCGAAGCATTGAAAATATCTGCCCAATGGTGAGGGTCATATATTCCAGTAGGCGGATCGAACTGTTCAGCAAAGTCTGCATATGTCCAGTTAGGTGGGTAATTCTTCTTCATAAACTCAATAACGGAGGGCCACTGTTTAGCTCCTTGCCAGTGATACCAAAACCATTCACTGCTAAAACTTGGAACTAAAGACCAAAGTCAGAAAAACACCACAATATTTAGGTTTGCAAACAATTTAGATGATTAATTCTGATATAGAATGGGGGGGGGGGGGGGGGGTTAATTTGAGTAAATTATGTCAACAAGAAAAGACGGAGGGGAGATCAAGAGAGGAAAGGTTAGTTTGCTATCATGATTTGACATAATTTAAAAAATTATAATTTGTTAACAAATGCCAAACCACGATACAAAATTAACAATAATTACTAGCAATGCCATGGCTTTTTTTTTTTTTTCTGGTGGTATGCGGTACTGGCACTTTTTTGTTGCAGTACTGCTGTAAAAGATATTTTGTGTTGAGTACCAGCACCTTTCTTTAGACACTTTCTGGTGAGTATCAGAACCTTTTTAGACAATTGTTGGTGGGTAACCAGAACTTTTTTTACACTAAAAAGCTTTGGGCAGTGCAAATGACAGAAAGTTGTTGACAGACAGGATAACAAATACAGAATGGCACACAAATAAAAAGAATGGTACTTTGTTTTCTATTCACCCAATCAAAATAAATCCCAGAGTTGCATGGAAAGTTCAATATTCTAGGGGTGTTATGAGTTGGGGTTAGGTTAAGGGCTAGGGGTTTGGGTTATGCTTAACCTTAGGTTGTGTCTCTGAGGCGGTTGGGGCTGATAAAGATTCTAACCCTAACCCCAACTCCTAACATCCCTAAAATATTGGACTTTACGGTAACTCCTGGATGTTTTCTCCAGGATATGCCAGATTTTGCCAGAGTAGTGGAGAATGAACAGGAAGAAAGGTTGGTTGGATCTGCACCACTGGGTGGTGAATTGATACATGACAAGGCAGATATGGTCAAGGCCCTTTGGGAACCAATAACAGTCAGAAGAGAAACTGGATTATTATGGCCTTGAGAGAATGATGCACCTGGGCATGACCAGAGGGTCTGGCCGGCACACTACACTAAGTGGAAAAGCAAGACAGACATATAACCAGACTACGACTGGTATCATCAGTGTTGGAACTCTGCACTGACTGCCGAAGATGGGGAAAGAGCGCATATGAGAATGACCCGAGTGATGTGATGTCAATTCTCAACTTGACTTAACAACAATAAAACCAGGCAGGATAATAATAATTTACCCTCTGAAGATGACGTAGCCAAATATCAGCACAACGCAAAGTAGCCAAAAGGACGGCTGGGCTGATCAGTCTGCCCTGTGTAATAAAAACCTTGCGCATGTGGGCTGTTTAATGAAGGCTTTCAAGAAAGTTTGATGTGTTTTGTAATTTTACAGCAGTTTTGTTTGTTTTTTTTGGCTTACCTATTACCAATGATGGCCAAGAGGCATGTTGCGTCAAAGCAACCAAAATTATATAGCAGAAGGCATGAAAATGAGTTGAACCATGTGTCAGGGGTGTCTGAACGGCCTCCATGGGCCTTATTTCCCCAAAACACAAGTCTTAAGGACTTATTCAGGCTTTATCCATAAACAAATTCACTAAATTCAGGTTAGTCTTGTTTGTTCCTAAGTAGTGAAAAAAAAAACTTGCATAAATTATGCAAATCATAATAGTTAATCAGAATAAATGATGAGATTTCAATCTGATTCATACATATTCTGTTAGTTTATTTTACTCCCCGAATAAATATAGTTTTGTATATTTTAATTTTTTTTGTAAACTAAGAGAATTCTTCCCTGACGGTTCTCGTCTTTTTGGCAAAAAAAAAAAAAAAAAAGAGCTTGACTTGACGTTGAAAAAAAAAAAAAAATTTTAAACTGGGACTCTTCAAATGACCCGACGGCCTTCTTTATAATTGAGTCCGTTGCTTGTGAGCGTTTTTCGTTACTTTCCTTTTGTGGCGTGTTGGTGCGCCTGGTCGTTTTTTAGTGGGGCATGCATTCGACTGGTCTGCTTGGTGGGCTGTCTGCGTAGTCCGTGCGGCAGTTTGGTTCATTCAAGATGGCGGGGTAGGGGTAACCGTCCTAAAAAGGACAGTTAGCGTTAATGGGGTAGGTTGGCGTATGGGGAATGTGTGGGACTGGTGAGGTTCGGATGCAAAAAAGCTCCGTCTCCAAAGGGTTAAGTAGGAAGACTGGATAATCAGATAATCGAGGTTCTACTGTACCTGAGAAAACTCCCCAATGGATAAATATTCCGATCTTTCCCTCGTCGTACCAGCTTGGTAGGGGTCGAGAGTCTAGCGAATCCCAGTTAGGCTCGTACTGTACAGCGTCAACTATAGGAGATGGTGCCAACACGATAGCTATAGCGACAAGAGAAAACATTGTCTGCAAAATATTTCTATCCGCCATTTTGAAAAGTCACATGACACGATTGAGTTGAGCCACGCCCATCTTGAGCTATTTATATAAACAGAGAAGGCCGTGGTTGAGCCATAATATTAATTATCCAGTTTCGTCCCTTTTAGGACGAAATTTTTTGTCATTTGAAGCCCCACCCTGGTTTTGCCAGGGGCCGCAATATAGACAGGCCATAAATATGGCCAATTATCTAAACGTGGTTTCTGGGACCTCTCCACGGTGATCCTTATGAACATGGTGGTACTTTGTGTCATCGGGTGTTTATCGCTTGTGTGATCAGTGATGTCCTGGTGGGGTAGAAAAGTCAGTCAGTCAGTCAGTCAGTCTGGTTGAGCCATTTCGATTCGTTGTTTGCCCGGGCTCAGGGCGGCAAATGAAACTATCATTGTTGTCTGTATTTACCACTGTTTGTCCAGAACCTGAGTGTTGCGTGAGCATCAGTTTTACAGATCTCATTCTCTTGAACACAGACTGTTGTGTTGGTTCCTTGCCTATCCGGCAGATGCACTTCGACTTTAAAGGAATCTCCCCAATTAGTCGACTCTTACGACATTCTTTTGGGGAGGCAGTGGGTCTATTCTTGTTTTACCCCACCATGGGGCCCCGGAACCCACACGGGGGAAATTGTGTGTTTTGATTTCGCTGCTTATGCCGCCGCCCTCCTTACGGTGCCACCTGACACGATTGAGTCTCTGTGTTGGAGCTGGGGTTGGGATCTTTGTTAGCCCCGACTACTTCAGAGACACCAAGTAACCTAACCCTAATCCCAACCCACAACACCCCTAGAATATTGGACTTTTCCGGGAACTCCGGGATTTCCTTTGCTTTGGTGAATTTGTTTTTTAAAAGTACAACATGTAGTTCTGTGTGTGAAGAGTGTTATAGTGGTGAAAGATTAGTATCACCTGGTCAGAGATGTATGTGGCCTTGTTCAGGCTTACCCGCACGGCACGTGATGTTTGTGAAAAGAACGATTAGACTCGTGAGATGGCGTGAGATGGTGACCCTGACACAGGATTAGATGCGCTTGGGGAGTGAAAAAGACTGCGGGAGGGGGGTTTAAACACTAACATTCAACATCTGAACTCCTTAAATCCAATCACATAACATGCAAAATTAATCAACAGATCCCCCACCCCCCCCCCCCCCCCATATCTCATTTTCTCTGCTCTCTCTCTCTCTCTCTCTCTCATTCTCTTGTATAATTTTTTTTAAACTTCTCTTTTAGCTTGAGTCTCGTTGTGTCACTTAATTAGATGACTTTTTGTGGAAGATTACTCCCAACATTTGCCAGCTCATTTGACTCTCTCCTTTTATTGGAATACCACAGTGAGCTGGTGGTATCCACTGCAAGTCTAGTTCGCAGTTAAATTAGTTTGTCTTGTTTTTCTACTTGACATTGTTTGGAGAACAGACAGTAAGTCACTAACAGTTTGGTTTCCTGTGTATTCTTAAGAGATGAGATGCTGCTGGAATGCTGAAAAGAGGGCAGCTGTCTCAACTCTATAATTTGTACAGATGTCAGCTGCTGGGAGAGCTGTTCTACTTTGGAGCGTTTCATGAACATTCTGCAACCTAACATTTTGACTGCATCTGTAGCAGAGTAATCAGTGGAAACTGAGTTCAAATGGTATTTGGAGACTTCTCTTCAAGCATAGGGGGAACTAGTATTCTCTGTTGCATCTCCCTCTATGGATCTTTTATAGTGATCCGTGACACTGCTAGGATGTTTGACTTGTCTGGATTGCATATCCAGGGTTCAGGTATAAGCTGCTCAAACAGTTTTCCATTGGAAGATAAGATTAATGCTTTTCCGTAGAAGAAAAGTTTCCCAGTGTTTACAATAAATCATAACACTGTTAAAAACCATACTGGATGGAAAGGTCGAAGGCAAGAGAGCAAGAGGTGGGTAATGGTAAAAGTGGGAGGACAACGTCAAGAGATAGATGGGCAGCAGTCTGAGAGAGTGTAACTAGGACAAGAGACAGGGCATATCGAAGATCCACCGCAGCCAACCATCACTGTCTAGATGACACATGATTGATGATTGATGAATAAATTAAAGGACTTCTTATTCTTCTTCACTTCCTTTTGTACCGCTCTGGGTGTCGATGAAGTTTTGAGGTTTTGGTTTTTACTCTTCTGGCTGCCTCAGCCATAGACATGTGTGCTATTGTAGAGTTTGTTTGATGTTATTTATCTATATTGCTTGTGGTCTACCACTTGCTCTATGTTCCTTATCTTTTGATGTATGCCTTGTATGGTAAGGCATCACAAGGCATTCTTTCTAAATGTGCAGATCATTTGTTTGTTTTTTATCACAGTCTTTGTATATAATTTAGAACTAGTTCTGTAGCAACTTTTTCTCTTGTCTTCATTCTTGATTTGATCTTTTCTGGTCACTCCAGCAGCCTACCCTAGACAATATATTAAATAGCAACACAAAATATGATTAGGAAGTTCAAAGAAGAGAAAATGAAGCATGTTTTGACCAATGTCTTTATCCACACACAAAAAACAGAATCTTATACAACGAAGACAAATAGCTATATATTATGAAAAACAATGGTACATGTCAGTCGTGCATTGTGTTTAAATGTGTATGAAAGACAGTTACTTTGCTGGGAAGGAACTGCAGGATATCGTGACAACTGGAAAGATCAGCAAAGGAGGGGGAAGGGGGCTGCTCACTAAACCACTTGATCATCACTGCCATGATGTCTGCTCCGCATGTGATCCTTGTCAGTCTTAAAAAGAGGTCAGAGTCTCAGTGCTTTTGTTAAAGGAAACACTTTAGGTGGCGTGTGTAGTTTTACTTGAAATTCGCAAGCAGAAAACATAAAGGTGAAGGTAGATCACTGCAGATTTAAGATAGAGTTACGATAAAGATAGGCTGCTCTGAAGACAGTGGTTGTTGTCTCTGAGGTGGTCAGGGCTGACAGCGATCAGTTTATTTTTCACAACATCACACACGCAGGTAAAGGAGAGGAATATAATATGAGAATAAACACTATGAAGACAGAGACAATGTTGATAGTAAGACAGAAAGACAATTTTTAAATAAAAATTAAAAAACGTCTTAAGACAAACAGAGGAATTCAAGTATTTGGGAGCAATTTTCACATCCGATGAAAAAATGGACAGAGACATTAGCTCGAGATGTGCCCAAGCAAAGCAAGTAATTGGGCAACTATCTTCCCTGTTGACACACAAGCAGATACCCAGAAGTGCTAAAGTGAACCTTATCAAAAATATTTTTTGGCCAACACTATGTTAACAGTGCCAAACGTGGACACTTACATCCTCCAATGAACGTAAAATTGTGACAACAGAGATGAAATGCCTTAGAAGAGCTGTAGGAGTTTTAAGGAAAGACAGAATACGAAATCATGAAATCAGACGAATGCTAGGAATAAAGCCAGTTTTACATGTTATCAAAGAACAACAAATGAAGTGGTTTGGACACCTAACAAGAATGCCCTGGTACTATCTCTAACAGCGAGCCACACTGAAACGTTACAGCGGGTATAGAGCGAAGGGAAAAATATAGAGCGATGGCATAAAGAACAGCTTTACAGAAATGAACATCAATCTTAATAGTGCTTTTTGAAAGAGCTCATCAACGAGCGTCTACTGACACTTCATTGAGGTACAAGGTGGAAGAGAAAAAGAAGAAGACACACGCAAGCATGCAAGAAAATGAGCAAGCTGACATTGCCTCAGATAATGCTACAGTGAAGAGCAGACTAGCCATGGACGAGGCTGTTAAACTGAAAGCTCTTAGAGATGTAAGCTGTTTGAAAGACCAAATGACTGTGAATCTGCAAACTGCAAGAATAGCAAGTTAAAAGGGGTGTGGCCAGACCATATTTGCGTGTACAAGTGTGCACAAACAAAAAGGGAAAAAAAAAAGGCAAGCAAACACTGTATTTCAGAAGATGAAAGCTATCTTGTATAATAATCCTTTTCATGATGTCAGGTCTTGTTCAGACACAACTGAATGTTGAATCAAGAATTGACATCACAGCACTCATGACACTCCTATAAGCGCTCCATCCCCATCTTCAGCTGCAAGGAAAGAGTTCCAGTTTTGATGGAATGAGTAACTGTTTGATTGTATATTCATCTCGTCTTTCCCTTGAGTGTTGAGCGTCAGCCAGATCGCCTGGTAACTCCTTGCAGCACCAATCTTCTCAGACCATACTGATCTATTTGTGCTTCAGCACTGTTCACTCGCTCCTAAAGGGCCCTCACAACATCTAGCTTGTCATACATTAATTCACCACTAAGTGGTGCATAATACGCCAATCTATCTGCCTACTGATTTCCCAACACACCGGCATACCTGGAGAACAAATCCAAAGGACATCAACTACCCAGGACCTCTGAAGCGCTTGCCATTCTGTACGGAGCATGTCTTTCTGCACATTTCTCAGCATTCTATGTAGTCAAGTTATATGAAATGTGAATACAGCTGATTCTCAAGCCAGGGGAAGGCAGCAGTAACTGCCTCCACCTCCATTCTCAAACTAAACGTTGTGATGTCATATGTCAAGCTTTGCTGCATTAAGCAACATCCATTTGCTTTTGCTATGAACCCCCATGCACTTCGTCTGTCCCTCAGTACAGATAATAGATAATAGATATAGTATAGATAATCATATCTCCCGGGTGGGAATTGTAATGAATCATTTGTTGAACATCTCACAACCTAAAGTGATTAGAACCCTACACAAATCTGATTCTTACTCGGACACTTTGACCCATTCCTCACCTCACCCAAATGTATCAAGCCTGCACACATTTCTAATTGTGTCTTCAGCCTGCATCATCCAAGAACTTCCTCTTTTCAGTCTGTAACCCATAGCTCTACGTAGGGCTTCATGCAGATGCTTCTTGTCTGCAGCTGCTTTGAGAAATGACTTTGCTTGCAGAACTTTGAGCCTATCTGCAACAGACACGAC